TGAATACATTAATATCACAAAATCTATCTACCCTTTAAAATTTAAATATTTTATTTATTCTTGCTCTTTAAACTTCACTCTTGCTTGGTGAAAAAAATGGATGCAAATAGCGTTTTATCATTCGACGCATACACTTTGAAGTTGTGCTATTCTGTTGGTGTTAAATTATTTACTCAGGCACGGTTTTCGTGTGAAAGTAAAGCGCGTCCTGCGACGGCAAACAAAGGGGCGTCGTCGTGTGGATTATTCACAGCGAACGCTTAGGATTCAGAAATCGGCTTGAAGGTTGGATTCGCTGGCAAATAATATGCGCGATGAGTTCAATGGGCGAGTCCGCGCGATAAAGCACGTTTCGATATTAAAGTGGATTTGAAATGTACACGTTTCTCATTTGAAATATTCAGCCTTGTCGACGCTTTTTGCAACCTGCTGACCTAAGCTGACGAGCAAAAAAGACGATAAAACAAAAGCGCGTTTAATACAAAGTTAACATCAATTTTAATTTTCGACATAAAAATAAAATATGCGTTTTACCGTCAATTTCCGAGTAGGATATAATAACTATTTATTGATATTACCCGTGCGAATTGGTCATTTCAGCGGAATGCATAAATTAAACGATCGGAAATAATTATTTATGCATTCACATTGATTATTATATTATTTCAAAATCTATACCTGTGCAACATTAAACTATGAATTATTAAAATTATTTTATTCAATGCAAGTATTGATTTTATGGTAAAGAATCAGATTTCTCCATAAATATTAATATTTTTTCCCTTTTTTACTATTTTTTGTAAGAAATGATCAAAAGACTAAAATTATTTTCGGATAGTTATTGTTTGGGTAAATATATCTGTACGTATAATAGAAATGTAATGAAAATCGACTTACGTGTCAACGTGTTTGCTCCGTAAATAATTTGTATGAACTATTGTATTTGTTTGGTGTGGCTAGAGATACGTTCGGATCTCGTGCGTCGGCGAAAGCGTTCGGTAGGCGCGAAAGTCACCTGATTTGTAACGAATCCGCTCCGGCGCGCTCCGCCTTTTATAGGCTGCGCGGCGGCGGTCGGCGGTGGCAACGATCGACGACGGCAACGCTACGAGCCGTCCCGCCGCCCACATGTACTACCAGCCGCTATGTCGGCGGCGCGCCGTGCGGAAGGGATGAAAACTTGACACGAGGCGCGAACTTTTTTGGCAACTGTTATATCACTCGAGTTCAAAACAAACACTCGTTGCCCTACACGAAGACGGCGCGAGTTATGGATTTCTTGTGTTAATGTGCCACAATCGGTGCTTAAATTATGAATCATTATTGTAATCATCCAAGTGGTTTCTTTTTCATATATAAATTTCAAAGTTTTAATAGGATATAAAATGCAAATGATGCATCAGAAGGATTATATTGTAATATTCACTATATTTTATAATTTTTTTACTGATTTTAATTAAAAATAATATAATATTGTACCTTCTGTCATAAATTATAATTTATTCCATAAGAATCTATGTAAGCCCGGCGCCTCCACCACGAGTTTTCATTGTGCACACATCACTTTCAATATATGCACATGTATAATGAACGAATGTGCGCGTGTATTCAGGGAACATGAATTTAAAAAGAAGAAAAATTTAATCACATGCAATATTCAGTAAGTTTTTTATGTGTGCGATGTTTTCCCAGCGTTTTTCCACTTTGACTTGTTACACTACAACATAGAAAAACACGGAAATGTATTTAGTATTTACAATACGATACAAACACCAACAAATCATGTTGCCATAAAAACAAAAGTGTGTTCACATTTTTAACATGTAGCTAATAATGTTTACCACTTTTAGTGGTCAAAAACATGAATTTTGCTCCAGCGCCACAAAACTACCGCGTGTTGTATCGTTTTTTACTTTGAATTTATGTCTGTTTGTTCAGTTTCAGAGATAAAAGTCGTATTGAATGAATTTGTGCAACTGTTTCGCGTCGGTTTTGTTCAGTTAATACTTTCGATATTTTATAATTTAACACTGAGAGTTTGTGCACCAGAATACATTGATTTTATAATCGATTCGTAAATAATTACAACGTATTAATATAATACGTTACAGAGTTGCATGTGAAATATAATTTAGTAGCATAAAATAGTAGGTTGAAGAATATTGTTGATTTTAAAGTAAGTAAAAGTTACATCCGCACTATGAGTTGCAGGAAATTTTTCAACACAAACAAATGAAATGTTCATGAATAAAACAAATGAAAATACTAACAATGGTCGGGCTTAGTTGCTCGCGGAAGGTCCATTGTTCCTTGTGCCGTTTTACGTAGCAACGGACTGTTGTTCCTTATTCGATTCTAAACAAGGACATCGTTAATGAATAGTCTGACTGGTACTCGGACTTGATGAATAAGACCGAGACGGCGTGCGAACGCAAGGACAGGAGGCAATTTCCATTACGTAGTTGTTCTTGCCCCCGTTTCTTTAAGTAAGCCTCGTCGGTTCAACAAGCTCTCTAGCATAATGCATGTCGAGTTAATGCCAAGACCGGCAAATATTTAATCTTATGCAAAACTAATTAAGGGCGTAATTTTGTTTGCGGTATTGTGCAAATTCAGTTCGGTCCACTAAATGGGGCAGAACATAATTTTTTAGGAAGCAAATTGGTGTGAAACCTTTTTCAAGGAAAACTCATCCTTTGCTACCCCTCGCGCCCTCTATAAATGATATACTGTACTAGTGAAGAATTCTACTATTCAGGACTATTTTCTAAACTAAACAAAGACGTACATTTATAAAATAGTATTAGTAGCTCAATAATTTAACAAAAAATATATTATAGACATACATTAATAATTGAATAATATAGTATTTTTTTAATGTTGTGTATATTAAATTGTTTTTCATATATATTCTTTGCTCCTTGTAACCGGTCATTCACAGCTGTTTGTTACGATCGATTCTGACGCAAACAAATCGACAGGAACAGTATGTGTCGATAAACCTATATAATACAACTAACTGTTGGTATTTCTAATCGAGAATTGAATAGAATTTAATTCTGTTGGTATATTTTTTATATTACTTTCACCGCCGGTTCAATTTTCTTCGCCTTTCTCCATTTCGTATGGATATAGCAAAAATACAATATGGCGGGTATTAAATTACACTATAAACTTCCAGAATACTCTTCTCACATGTTAAAAAAGTGTTTCCATCGGCGGACTTGAGTATTGGGTTTTGTTTACCGTCTTAAACGGATCTATCAACAAGGGAAATGTGAGTTTTATGTTTGCAGAATGCGAATATTAAGTGAACATTGGATATTGGATCATAAAAAAATGGAAGATTATATAATCATTTAATATTTCCAATACCTTTAATGTTCAAAATACATTTTTTTATATTTTTTAATTCAGTCAGAAATAGTCAGCAAAAAATAGCACATAAAAATTACATTTGAACATTAAATTTTGTATTTTATTTGTTTCCAATATTATATGTTTATAGCCAAGTTATGGTAGAAGTTTATTAGTCGTTAGCAAAATAACAAAACAAAATAAAATATCTAGTGCATTGACGTCATTCGTTGAGTATAATTAGTTCAGGGCAATGTAATTTATTTTATTTTAAATTTATTTTCTTTTATCATTATAAATATAACACACTTTTATTTGCATTTCTTTATGTGCTAAGTGTAGAATATCATACAAGTACACCTTACTTTATAAATAAACCACTTTTCTGAATTGCATGAGTTCAACCACAGCTGTACGACTTTTGGCATTTAATTAACTTAATTGCACTAGAGGCCATTGTGCTGTGAACAAGTCAAACACACTACGAAACCATATTTGTAAGATATGACACCCACGGTTTTTTCCGATAAAAGCCTATTATCTAATGAATAGCACGCTTTCAAACAGCTAAACAATTTTGTGGTTTTAGACACTACTACAATTTACATTCCTCCGGCATGCTACTTAATTCAGACATTTATTAATCCTACCCTAATTTGGAAAATGCGCGTTGTAGGCGCTTTTAGGTGTGCCGGCAAATTATTGCTCTGGAAAAGTAACTGTTCCCTTGGGTACAATAAATCAGTTAATATTGTTTATTTACAACAAGAATTTCATGTTTGATCTCAGTAGGTAGTGATATCTGATATTGTTTTCGGAAATTATTAATCATTGTCATATGTACCGAGGTTTTTTTGTTTAGTTTTTTTACGTTAAATTATCTACAAAGACTATATGTAGATCAATAATTTACTGGAATATGCGACACATCCGTCGTATTTACTTCCGACAATACAAACACCCATCATTGATGTTTGTCGGATTTACGCGAATCTAAATGACTATATTAAATAATTGTTTGTAGATATAAAAGAAAAAAACTTAATATATTCAATCGGTGGTTTATACAAAAAATTAAGTTATAAAAACTATGACGAGGTAATGTGAAAACAATTACGGTAATGATATGAACGTAAAGAAAATTATTTATTGGTTTAAGCACTATTAAATATATTGTTTATATTAATACTTAACTTTTTAGAGATAGAATATAGAAGTTAATAATTAAATGGTTATTAATATTAATTTAGAATTTTCCGAGAGTTAAACATATTTGTATATAGAAATTGCAAGGGAAAATAAGGTTAATGTTACAAGGTTTGGCAAAAATCAAAACAACCTACACAATCCCCATTGTGTACCAGTTACAGACTGGTTTCGAGAGCAATAAACACATTCGCGAATCTATAAACGCAGCGCGTTTTGTGCACCAAAGCGCGAGCTTTCTTCGACCTGTGTTGTAACTGTTTACGCGCAACAATGCACTAAGAAATTCAATATAAGGAATAATCACCAGCGGAAAATAGAGCACTAAAGTGATAATTAATCAATATCGAATAGCAATAATAATAAAAATAATAAACAAGCATTAAAGCAAGGATACCGGTATGTAACGCTTATGTTTGACTTTTTTTAGTACGTACCCTCAATATCTTCATTTTCATTTTGTTGTTCCACTTCAATTTTATCCTCACTTTGTTTATTTTCACTGTCTTCAACGTTTAAATCCGCGTCATTGCCATTTGTATCTGATTCGGGCACTTCTTTTTTTACTTCGTTACTTGTATTGCACCCCATTTTTAGTACCACTTGATTATTAGTCTTTCAGTCTTTCTTCTAAATCTTTGATAAATAATTGTGTAAATTGTTGTATTAAATGTATATTAAATTCCTGAGAAATCCGTGTTTGTTAGTTGTGCACTTATTAAACCGAAAGAGTTGAACCCGGCACTAGTGGCGAGGCATAGTCCTAGGACGCGTGCTCTATGCTTGTCGAGGATAAACACACTATAGAAAAGGTTTGAAAGTCACGGATGAGCTTGCGCGCTTTGCCGCGCGTGTGTATACGTTGACTCCTCGTGTTTGTTCGTAGTGTTTTTCTGGCTTGGTGTAATTTTCCCATGACTACTCTCTTCTGTATGTGACTGGTTGGTTCATTTATGCGTGTATGTGTTTACGAGTCACCCTTTTACTGCCGAGGCACACGATTATGAAAAAGTAATATCATACCAGTTGCTCATACGTGAAAACCGAGCGGGCAGTGTATTACTTTCTAGTGTTAGGACGGACGTTTTTGGAATTTCTAACAATTTTACGCTCTGCCAGGAAACATTTATGAGAATATGTAGAATGCACTTGTAGTCACATTATTTATTTATTACGCACATTTCCCAATTTGTTCACGTAAGTCTCTACCATATAATGTTATTATCTAACAGATTGTTTTATTTTTTATGGAAATGCTAAAAATTCTCAACGTTTAAAAAGTTGCTTCATTCCTCAAATTAATTGGGTCATAAACTAATTTGTCCTGAACTAAGAAACATTTCATTCGCAGTCCACATGCTGGTGCTCACTATTTATCATCTTCGCATAATTCGATTATCCGCGTAATTGCGCTTATAATGAAAAAGTGAGTTCGAACTTCGAACCGCCAGAAGTAGATGCACTAAGAATGTGTATCTATGCTTAGTTTAGTAGTCTACAAAACCTCACAATAATTACATCCCAACTGGTGCAGAAAAACAAACATGCTGTCATTTTATTTTAAACTACTAGCAAGAAATATATTCATCACCAAGGATGACAGAAATATAGAAGTGATTTAATATGTCTATGTATAAATATTAATCATTTTGCTTTATGAATTTATTGTTATTTTATCACTTATGTTATACTCGTATTTTCTAGCCGATTCGCAAATCTGCGATTATACATAAACAAACATTTATCTTTGTCGTGTTCCATGAGTGTGTAGTGCAGCGCACTCACCGGATCACCTTCCTGCTGCGCTGCAGGTATGTAGTAGTATGTTCGACAGACAGTCGAGCCACGTTCGTGTTTGCGCCGGTTGGTTCGCTAGATACGGTATGGCAGGTCTGTCAATGTTTTTAATCGGTAAATCGGGGTAAATTCAACAATCAAGCCTACTTAGTAACAATAGACGAGTGTTTTTTTTTTTTGAAGATTAAGTGCGCGTATAATATTGGTGATATGTTTTAGCTTGTTTTAATTTTTTTATCACGTACATCTGTTGGAAGACTTCTTCATGGTATGCGAACCGTGTTGGATTGGCAAGTAAAAAAAGTTGCTTTACACCTCGAAATCATGCGGGAACTACTTTCAAATTGCCATCGAAATTTGACAACAATTAAAATGTCCTGATAATTTTACGGGAATCAGGTCATTCCCCGGGAACCGTCTGTATTATTTTAACCCAAGAGATTCTATATACGATACACTTCTGCAATACTAAAGTGTCACACGGGAACTATTTTAAAATGACTAACAAATTTTTACAACTTTTTAAATTTCTCTAAACTTGTTTTTGAAATCGGGTTATATCTCGGTTACCGTTTGCACTATTTTCATGTTCTGTACAAATGTGTGTAACGCAAAAGTTTCTCTAACCAAGAAACAACTGGATTAGGTTAAAATAGTTGATGAAGGACTCAAGAATGGCGCTTAAATCAGAACAATTGTGTTTTTATATTACCATTTCAATTGATCAAATATATTCCTTAAATCAAAATGTTACGTTTTATGTTTAATTTTATCAAACATTTTACCAAAGTTGTACTTACTTCTTTACATTCTTGGGTATATGGTTTCAATAAAATACAAAATAGTATTATAATAGCGTGCATATTTCTTTATGAACCCTCTCCTCCTCCTCCTCCTCCATCCTCTCGAGCACATTTCCTTGATTGCTCTTTGTGTTATGTAAAACTTGAGAACTCCTTTTATTGTGTATATGACTTTGCTGTATTGTCTTATGTATTAATGTGTACATACATGTTTGTTTGTTATACTGTCCACGTAGAATTCGTGTTTATATGTAAATGTTTTGTATTGTGTTGTAGTTGTTTGTGTTTTAATGTTTGCTTGCACCTTGTGTTGTGTGTTTTAATTTGTATAAATAAACAACGTTGATGCCTGTTGAAGAAGTTTAGAAACACTTGTGCCAAGGAGTCAAGGCAAGTTTTACTTTCAGGAGATTTAAGACCTGTCTATGATTTTCGATTTTAAATAAATGTATGTAGTTTTTAATGTTGCTAATAAAACATAATGTAATATTATATACTTCTTCATATTTATTTCTGATTTCCCCTTTGCCGTTTGCAGGATATATAAATCTTAAGTGCGTCGAGCGTGTTCAATATATAGCTGTTGTTTGTGTTGTGTTGTTGTTTTTAAAAAGTTGAATAAAGTAGAAACATAAATAGAAGAATCAAATAACAATGATAAAAACACTCGGTGGTCGAGTGGAGACGTGCACCTGCTGGCATGCTAGCAGACACGGTTCGAATCCCAGGTATAGAAGGCATTTTTCTCAAATATAAAAATATCGGGTGAAATTTGGGTTGCATATATGAATTGCAACGAAATATAAGAGAAATTGAAATACAAGTGGAGGCAAAATAAGAGAAGTAAGAAAGTAAATGGAGAACGGGAGAACAGAGAAATAGAAGAATGAGAGTAGTAGAGAATAGGAGAAGATAGAAGGAAGAGAACAACAGAGGAGTAGAGTAGAGAAGAGGAGGAGATAGAAGAAAGAGAACAGGGGAGGATCAGATTTTTAAATTTTTTGGCACGTGTCGTTATAAGACAGTCATAGGTCGATCTCCCAGAGCGCCTCCGGCGCTCTGGTCGATCGCCCACTGCTTCGATTCTTCCATTGCTCCCGGCCCATCCTACAGCTACGATGTCTCTGCGCTTCATCCCCGAAATTATCAGGCATATCAACAATTTTTATGGTGGGGGATCACCCCCAGAGAGAGGGAACTCCTTATAAGGACATCCTTTTAAAGACTTGTAAAAATATTTCTAATTTTTAAGTCGCCTCAAGAGAGGGGACACTTAAAAATATTCTTACAAGTTCTGACCTGTAGCTGAAATGAAAGATGGAGTACACAAATCATACAGGATACCTTAACAATTTTTATAGAGGGGATCATCCCCTGAGAGAGGGAACGCTCTCTTAGAGACCTCTACCTGTAATGATAGAAGGCGAACACATAAATGAAAGTAGTCAATATATCTTACTATTTCTTTATTAACAATAGAATACAAGTTTTGATTTTACAAGTCAACGGAATTCGTGCCGCCATATTGGAACAGGACTTACGACCTTCTTAGCCGCGCACATCTAACGCCAGCTAAAATGTAGCAAGTACCACTTCATAAAGTAAGTGGGATAAACAAATTAGCAAATAGCCCATTTTCTACGTCAGTGGAAACAAATATACAGGGTGTTACAAAATGAAAATTTAAAATTGAAACAGAAAAACATTTAAGCACAACAAATATCGCTGGTTTTTCACCCAATGTCTGGAAAACTAATATACAGGGTGATACAAAAAGAAAATTATAATATTTAAAAACAAAACTCAAACTACAACGGGGAAACACAAGGAAAATTTATATACAGGGTGAATCAAAAGGAAAAACTAATATTTAATTAGGACAACGGCTAAAACAATACAAATGATAATGCAAGATGAGAAGAAAACAATTACATTTTTAAAACGAATTTCTACAAGAAAAACATTACAAAAAACAGAACAATTAAGATGAAATCATTTTCCCTTTGGATAATAAGAAAAAGTGAATGGCTAAATGATGTAAAAATTAAACTCAAATACTAATTTTATTGTACAAGTAAATCAGTGAGCGAGCAGCACCGTTACAAGTCGTAGGTTGCAGCGAGGGCACAGAAACGCATCCGACGGCACGCGACAAACTTCAACAATTAAAGTGTTAAACGGGATGAAAAACATAATTTATAGAGCAATTTATAAATCGATTGCAAATTGCAAATATGAATATGAGATGCAACATACGAGTATGAGATATAAACAACACGTACTCGTACATGTTGCATCCTGCAGCGAGAACCGAAGTAAGCAGCCGACGACAGACTACAATCTTGAACAACGAGTATTCTAATTTATTTTTGTAGTTAAAATCATGCGTTTGTCAAGTGTTTCATGAAATTAATCAAAAATCTTTACAAACATATGAAAACATACCTTGATGCAAAATAAATTTTTCGCTTTTGAAGTATCCAATAATTATAGGCATATTAATTACGCACATTGCAGCAAACACGCGTTAATACTAGAGTACGAAACTGATTAAATTCAAAATGTAGTTGATAACGACTTTTTACATTAAATGAATATAATCGAAGAGTATCCGACGGCCGACGGTACTCGTACATCATTCACACGTAATCTTTGCAAATATACTACCCGCGTTTAACAAACACCGCACATCACCCTCGTGCAATCGAACAGATCAATTACAGAACAATTAGGAATATTACATAATAACGCAAAGAAAAATTAAGAAATTTAAAGGTTTGCGAAGCGCACAGTTCACCGGACGATCAAAATTAGACTAACACCGTTTACAAGCCGACCGCGTGGCGACGGCACACAAGTTGAAGATAACAAAACTTGTTTATAAACACAGATAGTAACAGTGTAAGATGCTAGAACAATTCTACATAGTGTGCATTGAATATTTACGTATATTATAAGGAACATTGACTGCAGATGCATCACGGCCGAAATACGTCTAAAATAGTTACTCAACGCGATAAAGAAATGCAACTAACAACACAATAAATAATGAATAATATAACTAGCGTTACGGAATTTTCTCGCCATAAATATCAATACAGGGAGACACAGAATTAAATTCTGCATCTGGAGAAATTATTCCGGACTAATTGTAACACCGCGTTCACGTGTTATACTAAAGAACTACCATTC